ATCTCATAATTCTGATTTTTTTTTTGTGAATTTCAGAGGTTTTTAATCTCATAATTCTGACTTTTTTCTGTGTATTTCAAAGATTTTATCTCACAATTCATTTTTTTTCATTGGAAACAAAGTCAGAATTATGAGATAACACTGAATTCAACAGAACAAAATCTGAATAAGATATTATGAGATTTAAAATCTGAATAATGAGATCTCTGAATATCCACATTTGAAAATGTCAGAATTATGAATTGACTTCCAGATAAAATTTTGAATTATGAGATAGAAAAACTAAAATCTAAAAAAAGGTCAGAACTGTGAGATTAAATGTTACAATTCTTAGAAAGAAACAGTCAGAATTCCAAAGAAAAAGTCAGAATTGTTTTATGAAAACTCGAGTTTCTCCTAATCTGAATTATGAGATGAAATACTCCTAAATCATGCCAAAATTATTTAAAAAGACACAATTACAAAAGTGGAAAAAAGTCAGAATTGTGAGATTTAGTTTGTTCTGTGGTGGAAATAAGCTTCCATTCATACTAGTTCTGCCTTTGAACCAGTGCTTTCCTCTTGTGACCAGACATTTAAAGGGCAACTGTTTTTCCTGCACTAATAATGATGCAGAAATGGTGCACTTTACCTTTAAGAGCTGCACTTCATCACTGTTTGTGCTTTAAATGATGAAAAAAAGATGAACTACCTACTGATGGTCTTAGTGCTAAGATATTTTATTAAAGTAACTGCTATCCCAAGGTTTGTCTATGTTGTATCTGAGAATAGTGCAAAAAAAAACACATTGGATTGTAGACTTCTGCTTTACAGCATTCACCATTTACAGACTCAAATACAGCCATCAGAAATCATTCTTTTGTATGTTTCTAAGACATATTTGGTGCTCTCAATCTATAGATTCAACACAGCCAGTGTGTTACTGTGAGGAAAGGTCACTTTTTGAACCCAGATGAACATTTTTAATTCTTTTGAGATTTCTATTCCTGGAATTCATTTTTGTAGTCTTAATCTGTATTTGCTGGAAATCTCCATTTAGATGTAATTTTTGGTGCGATATTTCCCAGCTAAAGGTGAAGGTCAGTGAAGCTGAAAGCCATCAGCGGATTGTCTTTTCTACCTTCTTGTGTTCATTCTGTAAATATTTTTTTGTTTGTCTGTTTTTCATTTTTGTGCATGGTTTGCATGTCCTCAATAATACTAATAAAATGGATAAAAGAAAGTGTGATTTATTTTGTCAATTTTAGTTTTGAATTACACAGCTAAAAACTGAATTATGACATAAAACTCTGAATTCAACAGAAAAGAAGTCACACAGGAAAAAATTCAGATTTTTAAGATTAAAATCTCTGATTTTCCACCATAAAAAAGTCTCTGTAAGTATACCGTTTAAAAAAAGACACTGTAAAAATTCTGAATTACAGTAGAGATAAAATCTTAAAATAAAATCTCAAAATTTCACAAAACAAAGTCAGAATTATGATAAAAACACTGAATTCCACAGGAAAAAGTCAGAATTATGAAATGAAAATTTCTGAATTACACAGGAAAAAAAAGTCAGAATTATGAGATAAAATCTTGACATTTCACAGAAATAAAGTCTGGATTATGAGATAAAAATTCTACATTTCACAGAAAAAGTCAGAATTATTAAATAAAACTTTGAATTATACAAAAAGTCAGAATTATGAGATAAAAACTCTGAATTACACAGGGAAAAAGTCAGAATTATGAGATAAAAACTGATTTGCACAGGGAAAAAGTCAGAATTATGAGATAAAAACTGATTTGCACAGGGAAAAAGTCAGAATTACACACAAAAAAGTCAGAATTATGAGATTCAAACTCTGAATTGCACAGAAAAAAGTCAGAATTATGAGATAAAAACTCTGAATTGCACAGAAAAAAGTCAGAATTATGAGATAAAAACTGAATTACACACAAAAAGTCAGAATTATGAGATAAAAACTGAATTACACACAAAAAGTCAGAATTATGAGATAAAAACTCTGAATTGCACAAAAAAAAAGTCAGAATTATGAGATAAAAACTCTGAATTGCACAGAAAAAAAGTCAGAACTATGAGATAAAAACTCTGAATTGGACAGAAAAAAGTCAGAATTATGAGATAAAAACTGAATTACACACAAAAAAGTCAGAATTATGAGATAAAAACTGAATTACACACAAAAAAGTCAGAATTATGAGATAAAAACTGAATAACACAGAAAAAGACTCTGAATTTAGGCATTTATTCCAACAACAAAATAATAAAATATTAATGTAATTCCACAATCCACAAAGAGAAGTCAAATTACTTGCAGCTGGTGTGGTTTTGACAGCATATACAGACATTTATAGCACATTTTTTAAATAAAAGCATTAGCAAACTGAAATGCTCCACAGTTTAAAGTGTCCGCGGTCAAAAACAGAAAATAAGAAAAAAAAGTAATGCCTAAGTAAAGCATTTCCATCTTTCCAAAACTAAAAGAAACTAGCAAAATAGGCACATCATGTGACAAGAAAACAAATCAATATTTAAATCTCTATAATCATTAAAAAAAATACAGTCTAACATTCTATTACTCAAAAATCAGTGCAAACAGCATTTATTAACTAATCTGAGAAAATGAAAGTGAAATGACAGTATTCGTGACAGTACATGATTCATGGTTTTACTGTTGAAAATGTATCGATGATAAAAGCTTCTGCAAAAATAAAAGCTTCAACTTTAATAATAAAAAAAGCACCTACCGTCATGAACAGAGAAAATAAAAGAAAGAAACCTTATGGAAACCTTAAAGTGCTTATTTATGGAAATGCAAGGCAGAAGAAACATTGCAGAAGTTATTAATTATGTGGCATTTAGTATTAGAGTAAAATAACACCGTGAATTGTTATAAACACATACACATGGAAATTCAAATGCTTTAAAAATACTGTCTTGTCATGATTATATGCATGACAAAGTACTTAGGAAAATGTTTAAAGACACCTGTTGATTTGTTGGCTGATTACGCCGGACAGGTGGAAATGTCAATCTGAGAGCCACATCTGCTGTATGAACACACACTCTGATAAATACTGAGAGAAGACTGCACTGACATAACACTACCGTTCAATGCTTTTTCTTCTTTAAAAAAGAAAAGCTTTTAATTAGCTTTTCTTTTCTTTTTTTAATGATGAATTGAATAGAAAGTGACAGAGCTCTTTATATTGTCATACTGTCAACTTTGTTCATCAAAAAAAAAAAAAAAGAATATTGATTTCATATAAATGTTTAGAGAAATGAGCTGAATCAACACAATTCTTGAGTATTGTACAAAACAATTAAGTGACTCAATGAGATTGTTCAAACAAAACAAAGCATTCCCAATAATGTACTCACACACAGGTCATCCAAGATAAGGGTGACTCCCAAGTGATGTTTATCAATAGTTTTATTAACTAATTTTTATTAACTATTATTTCTAATGCTTTTGGTATTTGCCATGATTGTAGTACATAATATTCTACTAATTATTTACTCAGCACTGGTGATGGATGAGGAGATTCACCCAAAAATGTGTAAAGCGCTTTGAGTGCCCAGAAAAGCGCTATATATAAAATGTAAGGAATTACTATTATTATAATAATAATAATTATTATTATTATTATTATTATTACTACGACTACTACAAGGTACTAAGATTTAATGCAAAAAAGTGCAATTTAAAAACCTGGTTTAATTAGGGAAGTTTACCAATTATTTTTTTAATTATGGTAGCATGTAACTGATTTTTTTGTCTTTGCCATAATGACAGTTTATATTTTACTAGTTGTTTTGCAAGGTACTAGTATTCAGCTTAAAGTGAAATTTAAAGGCTTAACTAGGTTAAGTAGGCAAGTTAAATAATTAGAAATAATTTAAAAAACGGCAGTATCTAATTTGTTCCTCTGTCATTAAACATCTATACTCCGCATACACGGACATCTTCTCTGCTAAAATATGCATTGGATGCCTTTTTAAAATGTTAGAGAAATACAGGAACATCTTCTTTGTAAATTTATACATATATATTGAGTTATCAGCTTTGCCATAATTATAGAACAGAATATTTTAGTTACTTTGCAAAATGCTAGTATTCAGCTTAAAGTGCACAAAGTAAAGGCTTAACTAGATCAGGTAACTCTTATCTCTAAAACTGTAGTTTGTTAACTAATTCATCTCTTTCACAAATAGTTTTAAAAACTAATTTCTTTTGTCTTTTCCATGACGACAGTACATAATATTTTACTAGTAATTTACTAATAAGATACTGGGGTGTAACGGATCCCGTTTGATCCGTGATTCATTTGGATGACAGCCCATGATTCAGAACACACGCGGCCCGCAGATTAATGCATTTTATTTTTACTGGTAGATTAATCCTAAATTTGTAACATTAACAGAGAGACCGCCTCTTGCATTATTCAAATCACTTGTATGAAAGCATTTAGTACTTTTTCCTGTAAAATATAATGACGGAAGACGTTGTGGCAGGTTATTCGGGATGTGTTGGGTTTATAGGTTATTAAAGGTGTTTTCTGTCACCTCTTGTTTAGTCTGCATTAATGCATTCAGGTTAAGCTGCACGATTAATCATTGAAAGTACGGGATTTTAAAAACCATGCAGCAAGTTATAAATGATGGTGATTTGCAAATGTTTATTAATACTTCATATGGCTGCATTCAAATCTTTGTTTGAAAAATGCAAAAATCAAAAAAAGAGATTCAGCCTTTAGACTTTTGAGTTAGTTAGAAGTTACAAACAGTCAAATAACACAGCAGTACTGGGATAACAGTTTATAGTTTAGATATAACCACTGATGTGTATGGTAAAGGATAAAATCAAGGTCGTATGCATTTTACTTGAAACTC